TATATATATATATATATATATATATAGTGAGCTCTCCAGTCGTATTCGACGTATTTGGAACCGGCAGATACGAGCACCAGTGGTGAAGGCTTTGTGCAGAACCAACCACAAGAGCCGAATACAAAGACCTGATGCAATATGAACCACAAGGTCACCAAACGACACCCCACCTAGTCTTGAATTCAGAGTTGTCCTTCTCCTAGACCAGTTGCCATCCAGGGCTATAGAACCCAATCTGTCCTGCTATTTACTCACAGCTGGAGTGAGAGAAGAGGATTAATATCTTTCCTGTAAGTGAATATAATGGTTTCGACTGAATTCGAACTCGGCTCTCCGATTCCTCTATCGGAGTCGCTACTCCATTACTACTATTACTATTACTACTGCTACTACTATCTCTCTCTACATATATATATATATATATATATATATATATATATATATATATATATATATATATATATATATATATATATATATATATATATATATATATGTGTGTGTGTTTTGGGTTTATAATGTAGTCAATTTCATTTAAATTGTTTTTCTTTTACGTCTTATTTCCATCATTGATAATAGAAGATCTGCCAGACAAACTCAGTCCGCGTCACACGAAAACATTTTTCCCGATTTGTCATACATCTTTTCTCCAAAACTGTCCTTGATATATGAAAGTTTAAATAAACTATATATATATATATATATATATATATATATATATAAATATATATATATATCGAGCTGTCCATTGTTAAGTGTTGACCTTGTGAAGCGTTTTTTGCTCTGAGTAGTCTGGGCGTTGAGCCCTTTTACTACGGACATTGGTGTTTGCGTTTTTCTCATTCTTTTTTTTTCTTTTTTCTTTCCTTGTTTGTGATTTTGTTCTTGTCTAAGGTGCTAGGTCTTCTGACAAGTTGTTTTTTCTTATACATATATATATATATATATATATATATATATATATATATATGATAGATTTTTTATTGATCTGAGAGGCTGATAGACGAAAAATAAATAAATATGATGTTTAATAATTAAACGGAGGGCCTAGACAAAAACCAGTATCCACTAAGAATAACTTTAAAATGATATATATATATATATATATATATATATATTAAATATCAGGAGATCAGTTGAATCCGTTATCTTGGTTTTGATCTCCTGATTTTAAAGTTAAAAGCTCTACATATTATTTTTACCTTCATTTTATTTTGTATTTAGCACCTTTTTAATTCCTCTGTTTCCTGGTCTGATTAACTCTGACCATAAACCTTATATATATATATATATATATATATATATATATATATAAATTATTATAAATTATAAAATTATAAGATATTTTTCCTCTCATTTCATTGTTGGAAGTGTTATTTGATGATCCAAAATCTTAAAAAGGATTCTGGTGAAATATTTTATTGTCATGGTACTTTTAAAGTGTCTGTTGTTCATTAAATTATATATATATATATATATATATATATATATATATATATATATATATATATATATTATATATAAGGTTTATGGTTTATATATATATAGATAAGGTTTATGGTTTATATATATATATATATATAAAGGTTTATGGTTTATATATATATATATATATATATATATATATATATATATATATATATAAAATAAAAGGTCTATGGTTTATATATATATATATATATATGTATATATGTATATATATATATATATATTGAGGTTTATGGTTTATATATATATATATATATAAAGGTTTATGGTTTATATATATATATATATATATATATAAGGTTTATGGTTTATATATATATATATATATATATATATATATATATATATAAGTTTTATGGATTATATATATATATATACATATGTATATAAAAGGTTTATGGTTTATATATATATATATAGGTTTATGGTTTATATATATATATATATAAGGTTTATGGTTTATATATATATATATGGTTTATGGTTTATGGATATCGATATATAAATTTTTATATATGAAGAACACTAATGGGGAAAAAATGAACGACAAAGTGGAAGAGGTTTTCGTGTGACACGACTACGCATGCTCACGAATGAGAGATGCTGGGAATTATAAATTAATTTATTTTTTTTAATTTTTATATAAGCTAGACAATTTTATTTTGATTGATTTTCTTTTGTGTTCCCATCACTTTTCTTAACAGGTATCCCGCTCTGCGATAATAGAAGGTCTGCTAGGAATGGTGAAATGTTGTAAGAGCCATGGCGCAAATTTACTGTGGATGATCTTCCGTTCAAGGCAATCCCTAGATAGTTTCATTATAGTGAATTGTATTTTTTTCCTTTGATCAGAATAGCATTCAAAAAAAAAAAAAAAGAAAAAAAAAGAATTCTCAGCATTCCTCGTTCGTGCGCATGTGTAGTCGCACGAACATAAATTTAATCAGATTAAGAGAAACGCGTCATACGAAAACCTTTCCCCATATACAGGGTGTATCAAGGGTCACCTCGAGGCAGTGTAATGGTTAGCAAGCTTGTCTTGCTAGAACATTTACGACTGAGTAGTGAGTTTGTCCCTCACTGGGTGACCCCTACTTTCGTCCCTGTGCCACATATAAGCTACATCAATATACAGAGTGTATCAAAAATACGTTTACAAACTTTTGGAACGGGTTCCTCAGAGCAAAACAAGGGCAAAAATCCATATAAACCTATGTCCTCAAATACTTCCTGTTTAGAATTATTAAGTTTAAAGAAAGTTTACGGTAGGTAGCACCATATAGACTAGATTACATTTGTTATTCATGTACATTTGTGGCGAGTCTGTCTTCAACGTTTAACGCGTGTAGTAGTGAGTTAACTGAGAAGTATCCCGTAATTAAACTTTGGCGGATATAATTTTTACACCCGGCCGCGTGAAAGGTAATGGACGCGAGGCTGCACGGCTGTATCAGATTGCGCTTCCAGTCGAAGACAGGCAGGTCATCTGACGTTTGCTGCTGTTTATCGTCGCGTTGCTGAGACAGGATCCGTGGTACCACAAACTATGGAAGGGTTAGAAGGGAAGACCGAGATTATGCCTAACCACGAAGAACATATTCTACAGGCTGTCGATCCAAGTATCAGCATACCTCAAGTGGTCCCCGCGTATTGTACATCTCATAGTACCCTATGGAGGGTACTTTAAGAGCAACTCCTGTATCCGAATCATTCGGACATCTGATCACACACCATGGGAGAACATTTGCTAATGGTTTATTGCGCAAACTGCTGGTCCGTTTTTTGTCTTGTTTACGGATGAGGCAACATTTGGAAGAACTGGAAATACAAATTTACACAACCAACATTTGTAGGCGGATTTGAAGATATATATATATATATATATATATATATATATATTACATTCACTTACGTGCTAATACCCTTGGGAAAGGTATGAATCCTCTTCCGCTCCCTCCAGGGTAAAATAGCAGGACAGACGGGGTTCTATAGTCTTGGATGGCAACTGGTCTAGGAGAAGGACAACTCTGAATTCAGAACCTGCGGAGGGTCGTTTGGGAACCTTGTGGCATTCGGTGCACTAGGTCTCTGTATTCGTCCCTTCAAAAAGTGTGGATGATCCTGCACGGGGCCTTCACCACTATAATCAAATCTCATGTGCCGGTGTCGGGCTGTCGGTTTCCTGGAAACTGATCTCCTTGACCCTCATACGTCGAATCTCGACGGGAGAGTCGATTATATATATATATATATATATATATATATATATATAATTGTGTTTGGTGCATTTAAACCAGTCTGAAGATACAGTGCAAAACAACTGTTGAAATAAATTTATTTTTTAACGGAAAAATCCAAATGTATGTTTTTATACTTTAAAATTTTTCCTAATTAATTATATTGCTTTATATGATTTGTAATTACTTTCATACATTGAACTATCGACGAGAAATTTTATCTGGATATTCACAGTTTAGTAACTCTTCGGGATTATCCACATGACCAAAGAATTATATATATATATATATATATATATATATATATATATATATATATATCATACAATAGGAATTAAGATTACATTAGGTTAATGATCATTTTCATCTTGTAAATTGAAATAATAATTTAAAAGGATTTTAAAACCATTCAATGGATGACGTAATGTTGAATGTTTTTATTTCAATAATTCATCATTCATTGACTGGTTTGAAAATCCTTGTAAATTATTATTTCAATTTACAAGATGAAAATGATCATTAACCTGATGTAATCTTAATTCCTATTGTTAGAAATATGTTGCCCTGTTTAATTAAAACATTGAGCTCTATGTGTGAATCACAATTGTTGTTCTTTTTCTTGTATATATATATATCAGTGGCGACTCTAGGTCATTAATCTTTAACAAAATTTACGATAAAATTTAGTATATATAACATAGATGCTGAAATTATTCCTTTGCTCTAAAATATATAATTTAAAAAATATCTAGTCAGATAATTTTTTTTTAAATAACGTGTATTTATTTCGAGTGTGTGTTTGTATATATGTCTATGCATTAGTGTGTTTATTTATATCTTTGTAAATATTTAGTTTAATTCATTGTACGTTATTGGGTCAGTAATCGTGGCTTCTGACTGAATATTACATATTTCCTCAACCTTACCCCAGTCACACTCTTCACCCTAACCCTCCAGTCGTCGAGTTACGAGCTTTGATTTTCGCCGACTTCATGTCGGGCTAAATTTAATTTATCCCTTTTCAATTAATATATTATGTTTTAACACCTTCAAAAACAAAACTGCTTTCGTTTAATCACCACAGAGAACTTTTTCTGACATCCATTAGCATGACTGATGCTAACCTCCAGGAAAGTAACTCTTTGCACTTTCTTGGGCTTAAGTTTTCCACTGATATGAAGAGGAATGATTATATCGAATCGATTGCTAGGAAGGTTTGTTCACTTTGTTTTATCTGATTTTTCTCTTCGTAATCTATCTTACACATTTACAAATCTACCATTCGTCCCTGTATTGAAGACTGTTGCCATATCTGGTCGGGTGAAAGAATGAATGGAAGAAAAAAAGACTCGGATAGAAGGAAGGTAAGAAAAGAATGAAAACAGATTGAAAATATCGATATACATAAAGAAAGAAAGAACGAAAAGGGGAGAAGAAAGGAAGAAAGAACAAACGATAAATTCGAAAAGAAAAAATAAGAAGACAAAAAGAAACAAAAAGAGTGGCGTAAGAAAGAAAGAAAGAAATGAAAAAAGAAAGAAAGAAAGGAAAAAGGAAGGAGGTATGAAAAAAAAGAAAGAAATCATATAGAAACTTTAATGAAAAGAAAGAAAGAGAAAATAGAAAGAAGCATGAGAGAAAAGAAGTCTGTAAGAAGAAAGTAACAATATATATATTCCAAAAGAAAGAAAGAAAGAAAGAAAGAAAGAAAGAAAGAAAGAAAAACTCGGGAAGAAAGAAGAAAGAAAAGAAAGGAACCAGATTGAAAATCTCGATACATAAAGAAAGAAAGAAAGAACGAAAAGGGGAGAAAAAATAACAAAAGATAAATCCGAAAAGAAAAAAATAAGAAGACAAAAAGAAACAAAAAAGAGTGACGTAAGAAAGAAAGAAAGAAAGAAATGGATGTAAAAGAAAGAAAGAAAGAAATGGATGTAAAAGAAAGAAAGAAAGAAAGAAAGAAAGAAACGAAGAAATAAATGGATATAAAAGAAAGAAAGAAAGAAAGAAAGAAAGAAAAAAAGAAAGAAAGAACGAAAAGGGGAGAAAAAATAACAAAAGATAAATCCGAAAAGAAAAAAAATAAGAAGACAAAAAGAAACAAAAAAGAGTGACGTAAGAAAGAAAGAAAGAAAGAAAGAAAGAAAGAAAGAAAAGGAAAAGAAAGAAGGTATGAAAAAAAAGAAAGAAATCATATAGAAACTTTAATGAAAAGAAAGAGAAAATAGAAAGAAGCATGAGAGAAAAGAAGTCTGTAAGAAAAAAGAAGTAACAATATATATATTCTAAAAGAAAGAAAGAGGGAGAAGAAAGAAGGAATGAAATTAAGTTAGATAAATACTCAGTTCCAAACTCGGTATTCATGCAGACGACACAAATATTTCCTCCTGTCTTGGTAGCAAGCGTTCCAGATCCGACAAAGTAAAACTGGCAGCTGCCCCCAGAAAGAATCTCCAGTCAACGGTTAACTGGGGCAAGGAATGGCTTTTAAGTTTTAACGTCTTCAGAAACAAAACTGCTTTTTTAGCTTTTTAGTTTCTATTTGAGAAATTGAAAAGTTGTTAAGTTCAAATTTTTTCATTTGTACCCACATAGTTTTTGACATAAGCACCAGCATATTAATAATAGTTATTGCAATATTTTGTTAACCTTCTCCAGCTCAAATATTTTAACAATGTGATAGGGGAATTTCTACGACTAATTTATTGTCGTAGAACTCACCATGAGATTATTCAATCATTAACTTAATAAGAATTAAGTTTGTGTTATTAATAAAATTTCAGTGTATCGAGTCAGACGATTCTCCTCGACAGAATCCATCTTGGACATTTATAAATCTACCATTTATCCGGACATTAAATGCTGATGCCTTCTTATGCTCAAGATTCTTGACAAAATCGAAAATATTTGTAAGATGGAGATTTGGCTAGAAAGAAAAAAATGGAAGTATTTAATGTCTCCTGCCAATACTTCACGAATAATGAACTATTCCTTTTTCATTGCGTGGAAGAGGGGAAAAAGACATTACTTGATTTGTGAGGAAATGAAAGAAAGTAAGAAAGAAGTAAAGATAAAAGTGTTTAACGGCTGTTTCAGTGAAATGTAAAAAAAATGTCAATTTCACATTTTGTTTTAATTTGTACCCTCTTACTTCTTAAAATAATGACCAGAATTCATATTAATGATTGTTGCAATATTTTGTTAAAGTTGTTAAGCTCAAATATTTAACGATGTGAAAAAGGAATTTTTGGGTTTTATTGTCGTAGAACTCACCATGAATTTATTCAATCAAGAAGAATAAGAATTGCGATTCATCAGAAAATTCAAAGAGGAAAACCGTGACATCTTCACGGGAATTTTTAGTATTTAAATTATTCTATAATATTTTTATTAAATAATAATTGAAAATAATTAAAGTTTGTATTATTAATAAAAGTTCAAAAGTGCTGACAAAGTAAAACTGGCAACTGCCCTCACAAAGACCTCCAGTTAGTGGTTAACTGGGGCAAGGAATGACTTTTAAGTTTTGACGTCTCCAAAAAACACCACTTCTTTAATCCAATCATCACAGGGAACCTTTTCTGCCTTCTAGTAAAGAAAAACTTTCCCATTTATAAATCTACCATTTGTCCGTGAATAGCATGATGATGATTATCACTTATTTGCAGAAGAAGACCATCTCTTCATTTGGTAGCTTTTTTGTTTTCTTCATTCATTTATACATGTGTTAACGCTCTTCTTTGGGTCCGTAAGTGATTCTTACGGCCAGTTTCCCTTTTACAACCTGTCGTAACAAACATAAAGTTTGCTTGTGTTACCTATGCTGAAAACTTGCCTGTCTATGCGTCGAATCATGTGACGTTTGTGTCCCATAACAGTCTTGTCCCAAAACACTCACAAGTAACGTGCAGGTCTTTCTTGTGGGGTTCCATTCACAGGAATTTGCTACTGACCTCTCTGGTGTGATCTCGTGTGACTAGCTAAGCCAGCAGCCGGGAGAGTGATTTTACCACAAACTAGAAGTAGAGCCCGGCGTTGCCCGGGGATGTAACAGTAAGAGATAGATCAAGTATCGACCATCATAAAGACTGAAAAATAAAAGTGACAAAGATTATTGTTTAAGGTTGACGGACACGCATGTCTTAATTATTTTTTTTTTTTTTACGAATTGATCAAACCCAAACTCAAACAAAAACATTGCTTTCAATCGTTATGAGTCTATCGATTGAATAGAATTTTATTATAAACAATTGTCTTGTAAATGGAATTTTTAAAGCATTCTGAATGTAAAAATAAAGAAAAAAGTGTGCCAGACAATAAGAAACACTACCTGCCAAAAAAAAAAAAAAGTGAAGTTTTGTTGAAATCGGTTGAAAAATATAGGAAATCCAAAGGAACACACACAAGCAACCTGGGTTTTATAATAAGTAAAACTCGATATGAGTTGTCCCCCTTTCATTCTTGCAACAGCGATGCCTCTTAATCGTGTTTTCAAATTGATTTCGTGCAAAAACAATTGTGTTTTTCTAATTTTTGGCACTGTCAGAACCATCGCAAGGTAATTTTACGTAGTTCCGTGAAGTTTTGTTGAAATCGGTTGATAAATGTAGGAAATCCGATCCAATATATAAACGAACAGACACACACACACACAAGCTGGGTTTTATAATAAGTATGATACTGCAAGTGTGTTGGTGACCTAATAGCTCTGGGGCGGACCCTCCCTTCCCTATGGCGCGCTTTTTGTTGGAATGCTCTTCTGCTCAAAATTATTACGACGTTCCCAAAACAACCTTATCCAGCAAGATCTACCCCCAACAACAGTTTCCAAGTCTTCAGCATTAACGCCAAGAGTCTTTAGGTTACATTGACCACAGTAAATGGATATATAGTTTGGTCAACGGCGTAGCCAGAGCATACATACGCTAATTTTATATCTCATGTATGACGCGACCCCCTTAAAATTAGCTTCAAAATTAGGTCTTCAAAAGTTGCATATGTGACTATATATGGTAATTAAAGTTTCTTTTGGACATAAAGTGGGGGACCGGTTTTCTATTGTTATGGAGTAATAAACAGATCCCCCAAGAATTACTACATAATAACTGGAAACAATTAGTTTCTATTGGACATAAGGTGGGGGACGGGTTTTCTATTGTTGTGAAGTAATAAACTGATCCCCCAAGAATTATTACATATTATTATAATTGCAAACATACCGTATATACTTGTGTAACGGGCGATGTTTATTTAAAAATGCAGCTGTACTTTTTTTGACGACAGTAAATGGATATATAGTTTGGTCAATGGCGTAGACGGCCAGCAGTACATATGTTAATTTTATATCTCATGTATGATATGACCCCCTTAAAATTAGCTTCAAAATTAGGTCTTCAAAAGTCGCAGGATATGCGAGTATATACGGAATTTATTTTTACGATTGCCTTCCACTTTCCCGTGTTTTTATTTTGCTGCCAAAGATTTCGGATGAATTTTTGGTCAAGGTTAAACCGTTTTCGTTTTATTACTGAGTTCAGGCTTATTTCCCTAAACAACTTTTGTGATTCACTGTTTTTTTTCAGTCGGTCGTTAATTACAAGTTTTCGACTTTGTAATACCAAATGATTAGCGACTGAAAACAAACAACAAAAAAAAAAAAAAACTAAGGAATTAAAAAAGAAGTAAAAATTTAAAAAAAAAAGAAAAAAAGTCTACCAATTCAATCACGAATCAGGCTCACATATATGAAGGTCTTATAGCTAAGGATGGCGCATATCAAATGCTTCATAATAAGACACTGAGAAGAAAATGACTGAGAAAATTATTCAAAGAATGTAGACATAGCAAGATTATGTGATTTATGCAAAAAGTCTGATCTCTCTCTCTCTTTCTCTCGCTCTCGCTCTCTCCCGTTCGCTCTCTCCCGCTCGCTCTCTCTCTCTCTTTTTCTCTCTTTCTCGCTCTCTCTTTCTCTCTCTCTTTCTCACTTTCTCGCCCTCTCTTTCTCTCTCTCTTTCTCTCTCGCCCTCTCGCTCGCTCATTCTCTCTCACTCTCTTTCTCTCTCTCGCTCGTCCTCTCTCTCTTTCTCTCGCTCTCTCATTCTCTCTCTCTCTTTCTCTCTCGCCCTCTCTCTCTAGCTCATTCTCTCTCTCACTCTCTTTCTCTCTCGCTCTCTCTCTCGCTCGTCCTCTCTCTTTCTCTCTCTCTTTCGCCCTCTCTCTCTTTCTCTCGCTCTCTCATTCTCTCTCTCTCTTTCTCTCTCTCTCTTTCTCTCTCGCCCTCTCTCTCTCGCTCATTCTCTCTCTCACTCTCTTTCTCTCTCTCTCGCTCGTCCTCTCTCTTTCTCTCTCTCTTTCGCCCTCTCTCTCTCTTTCTTTCACTCGCTCATTCTCCCTCGCTCTCTCTCTCTCTCGCTCTCATTTCACCTCAAGCAAACGCAAGGAGCTACTGAATGCGAGAGAACCTGAGAAAAAGAAAACATTATTAAGCAAAAGAGAAAAATAAAAGAAGAGGAATTAAGAAGGAAGAAGATTACGACTAGCATTGCATTTAAATTTTCGAAAACCGAAGTTGACTGGAAAGCCAGAAGAAAGTTCCTAAAGAGAGAAGTGCGAGAAACGAAACTGAACTTACGGTTAAATCTAATCATTTCAACTATAAGATGACGAGACCTATCCGCCAATCCAGTAGTACGCTCAAATTCATAAAGTCTAGGTAGCAAAGAGGAAAAATCACCGGAAAAAATAGGCTGAAAATATTTCTAGAAAAGAGTACTTACGTTGCAGGTGGTTGGAAAGTGCCCGAAGCCGAGATGCCATGTCAGGAACAGTAATATTGCAGATTCTTTTTTTTTGTATTTTATCAAGAATCTTTAAATACATAGCAGAAGCACCGGACCAGATGTGATAGAATGGCCGACAAATTTTAACCCCCGTGACCGTAATAAAACGTTATGTCAAAAGGATATTTTCCCCATGACACCGCTGTTATTTTAACTACCTTCACTCCCTCGGAAATGTTTATTGTTTTAAAAAAGCTATGATTAGAATTTTAATAAAAAACAAAGATATGTAAGTGGATTTATACATTTTCTTTATTCCTTAAAAAGTGCGAGAAAAAAAAATTAAAAACGATTGATTTGTTTATTTACAAAAATAATTTTATATTTGCAACATCCTAAAAATGCTAACCAACTAATCTAATATAATGTCTATCATTTACCAATTTATAAAGAAATAAATATGAAAACAATTTATTCATAAATTTATAAAAATTTACTAAATCAGAAAAATATGTGAATCAACTATAATGAAAACATATCCTGGGTATGACGATAAACTACCTCCAGCAGCAAGGCCTGTGA